CCCGGGGCAAGGAGTGGGACCTGGGAGCCACTTCTGCAGTCTGAACCACAGGACCAAGGCGTGGAGCACTGTACGCCCCCGGCTGGCCGGGCCTGTCAGCACCGGGAGGAACTATGGGGAGAGGCCCCTGGTAAGAAAGGGGAACTCACGAGGGAAGTTTTGCTTAAGATTTCAAATAACTGCTTTTGCTCCGATCCTTCCCTCCCAAGAAACCTCCAACATGAACCAATCAGGGGCGCTCAGGAGCCGGGCCCAGCTCAGGAGCCGGCCGCACGCTCAGCTCGTGATGAGGAAGCACAGCTCTGGCTGGCCCAGCCCTGGGCTGCTCTCGCTAAGAAGGAGCGAGGCGGGGTAGGAGGAGGGCTGCTGCAGGTGAGGCTTCAGGTGCCACTGTGTCGGGCGAAGCAAGAGGACTCCAGCAAGGTCCCCCCGAGTCCTCGGAGCCAGCGCAGAGCCTCACGACAGTCTCGACTTGCATTTGGGCTGAAGCTGCCGAAATGAAGCACACGCCACCACGCTCAGGGGCAGAATTTCAGACAAAGGCAGACGCCGCCGCTGCTGCTGCTGCTGCTGCTGCCTGACAGAATCGCAGCTGAGAGGGGATCGCACCTGACGCGAGGCCTCGGCACTCAGAATCGCGTCTGGAAACAAGTAAGACGCATTTTCTGCACAAGGTGGAAGAAAGCGCCACTTCTGGGAACAGTAGCATGTGTTTGGGGCAGGAACAAAAACACCTGCCAAAACCACCCAGAAAGCAGAAAAACCACTCCCGGGGCGCTGGGTCCCCAAATGGGTAAACACGACACGAGGCAACGGGCGCGGGCTCGGCGGAGCCCCAGAGCGCGGGATCGGGGCTGTTTGCACTGGCAGGTCTCTGCCACGTCGACTTGGACTCCCACTCCGGGCCGCTCAGGCCCAGCCCACGTGCCCTCCTGGAAACTCCGTCTGGCCCCACCTCCTCCGCCCTGGAGGTGCAGACAGCCGCAGTGCCGGGGTCCCCAAGATGGGGAGCAGCTCTTGGTGAGGTTCTAAATGAGTAGTCTGACCTACCTCACACAGTTGTCAATTTAAGAGGATTCAGGGTGCATAAGGGCTTTGGTGCTCTTTTGTAAGGTGAGGGTGTTGGCAGACTAAAGCTTCTGGCTGGTGAGTGGCAGGTCATCGGAGCAGCGGGATGTCACAGGCCACCGTGGGCCAGGGGCACCCATGGCCCCCCGACATTGCCAGTGCAGCCGTCCCTCTGACCAGCAAGGAATGCCCCCATAGACTTCCTGTGCACTGCCCCAGGGGCTGTATCTGCCCTGTGGGGCCACGGCACAGGGCTGGTGACAGTGCAGGGACATGGGCTTCTTTGAAGCCTTTGGGAATTGGCACAGAGGCGTGACAAATTCTATGGATGGAATGTGTGCACCTGTCCACCACCTTTTAATCACCCGCCCACAGCTGCTCAGAGCTGGAGGGACAGTGTGTATCTGGGTCTGAGTATTTACATGTTAAATTACACATCGGTGATCAAACATGACTTCCCTGCCCCTTCTGTTTTAGATCGCCAGTTGGGTAATGGATGCCTGGAGTGTACATAGGTTATGGCCTGAAATTTCCCTTCAGGACAGTTGTGGGGGCCTGTGAAGGGGGCACTGGGCCCACTCCCCTCATCCCCAGCAATCCTCCTTCCCCCTCCCTCCCCTCTGCAGGGCCACTGACCTCAGCCCCTCTCTGCCAGGCCAAGGCCAAGCCCACCTTGCCCCTGTGAGTCGTGGCTTCTGCTCCAAAGTCTCCCTTGCCTTGTGAGGACTTCAAAGGCAACCCTCTCAGTGGGGTGTCCCTTCTTAAAACTGAGAACACACTGCCCCCAGCACTCCCAGCTCCACGTCCTGCTTTGTAACTTGTTTCCTTGCCTGTAACTTGTTTCCTTGCCTGTGTCGTCTCCCTTCGGGAGTTCCGTTGAGAGTGAAGGTTCTGTCGGGCCCATTCCGCTGCTGTAGCCTCAGAATCCAGACCAGTGTCCGGAGACCTCAGAGTCCAGTCATACATTCACAGTTTAGAAACAACAATTTTGACATCTTGAGTTACAAATGTCAGGATGAAACGGAAAACTCGTGGTCTCTCCATGTTACCATGTTTGATCTTTGTATAAAATGTACATCAAGGGCCCAGGAACTCAGGGCTGAATTTAACTAAGAAGAGCCAGTTTATTCTCAGAAAAAACAACGAGGTTTAGAACACACTGAACAGTACTTGGGGTTATCAGACGTTCATCAAATTCTCTACTTCTTGGTGTCTTCCAACTCCTCCCCGCGCTGCCCAAGTGGCGTTGGTGTTTTGACTGACGGCTTGGCCCTTCCCACTCCTCCCGGGCCCTGCCCCCCTTTTCAGCCGGCAGCACCTCTCAGGGGCTCCTGCGGCTGATACTCCCACACACCACTGCTGGGCTACCCTGGCAGGGGAGCACCTGGACATGCCCGCAAGCCCCAACGTGGAGGCGCCAGCCGCCTCTCTCTCAGTGCTGGGGTGCTGCCTCGGGCTCAGCGTCCTGGGCTCGCTCCCCCCACCCCACCTGCGCCTGCAGCCGCCTTTGCTGCCCTGCACTCCAGTCACCCACCGAGGTTCAGGGCCGACATCCCGCTGCCCGCGGCCTTCAGGCCCCCGGAAGCTCTCCTACCTTAGAACATTCTCTGATCTAAGACAATGCATTTGTCCTTTTTGAAAAGTCTTTCGCACTTTAGCCATCCTAATCTGCATGTATCTCTGTTTTTTTCCTACCACCATCCCCTTTGGCCCCTTGGGCCCTTTCCCCGCCCCGTCCCTCTTAATCCCACTGTTTATGGGGGCCTGCCAGTCTGAAGTATTTCACTTTGTCTAGTCGTAATATGTAATGTCCAGTAACGGTTCTGGTCATTCTGATGTGTGTTACTATATGCACAATCCCCTCAAGTTCCTTCCCTTTTGCTGAAAATGGCAACATTTTCCCTTCCCTCATGGCTGAACAGTCCCCATGGTGTGGACAGACCACACCACTCGCGTCCACTCCTCTGTCCATGGCACCGAGGTTGTTTCTAAGTCCTTGCCGCTAGAATAGTGCTGCAATACACGCTATAGAGCGCACAGTTTTTTGAGTTGACGGATCCATGCTCTTTGGGTGGATGGCCAGAAGTGGGGTGTCTGGGTCCTATTAAAAGACACTTGGACCCTCTCTGGTGGCTCAAGCACAGCACTATGAAGCTGGCTGCAGCCACTTCATGAGTTCGATCCCCACCCCAGAGCTGACCCCCATGGCGTGGCAGACCTCTCCTGACCCGCCCGCTGCTCCCCTCAGCAGTGTACTTTGTCAGTCAGCCTGTTCTGCTCTCCACTCTGTCGCTGGTGAATCCTCTCACCACCCCTGCACCTCTGGCCTATACCCCAGTTCTGTATGCATAAATAAGTAAATCTTTAAAAAAAAATTAAAAGATACTTAAAGGAAGAATTACAGAAATCTGATTTTAGTTTAATAAGATCAGTCCAGATCACTTTCCAAAATGACTGTACCAGTTTTCTGTGTTCCTCCTGCCTTTGCTTCCTACCAGGCTGTGGGCTCCCCAAGGGCAGGATGGGCTTTTTCTTCATTGTGCCCCAAACAGCATCTTTCAAAGTCTAAGTTCTCGAAACACATGCTAAGTTAAAAAAAAAAAAAAAAAGGGAGGGGGCATTCTCTAAGCTCTAAGTAATAGGGAAGAACAGTCTGATTCTTATGTTTGGTGAAGTAATAAATGGAGTAGCACAGACTTTTGTCAGATACAGTCGAGGCAACCTGTAGAACTAAGACCTGGGGAAGATCCGTCTAAAACACTTCATGCAGGGAAAAGCAAAGCCTAAGAGTGAAGCGACTTGGGGGCGGGCACCCGTGAGAATGTCTACCTCGCTCCTTCTGTGGCTTGCTGATCTTCATCTTTGGACGAATATGAGAAATTGAAATGTGAAGAACTGGCCTCAGGTGGGAAAGAGACGGTCAGAGGACACTCCGAGCCTGCCGCGCAAGCTGACATGGGCGCTGCAATGCTCCGTGCTCCTTGCTGGTGCTCGAAGTCCTGGCTGCTGCCAGCAGGGCCCAGACAGGGGAGGCAGGTGGCCTGGGGTCCCCACCTGCCACCACCTGTGAATGGCTACCAGCTTGGGGCTGAGTCGATAAGATGATGTGTGACCTGACATGTGTGAATATTTTTCCATTTAGAATACTGTTTTGGAACATTCTATTAAGGAAGGAAAAACACTTGCTGTGCTCATGAAAATAATGAGTCACAGACTTGTGACGGAAGCAAGCACACTGGCCAGGTCCTCAGCTAGGGCCGAATGATAACTATTACCAGGCAGAATGGCAGGGATGATTCTGAAGCTCCAAATCCTGGGATTTGCATGGCTTTATCTGGGAATATTGCTTTGGAAATTGAATACTATTTCCCAGCTGTCGGATTGCATGCTGCAAACTGTTACCACCAAGACAAAATCATAAAAGGAGAGTGTGGTAGACTAAATGAGAAACCAGCTCAGTCTGACTTCCCTCAACGTAAAGACCTAAAAAAGTGGCTATCTTGGGCGAATGTCAAATCTCACAGCCCTCAATTACTTCAGCCTCTATAAAAACAAATGAGTAATCTGAGGTTAGAGAAGATACCCTTTTGTAATTATAATTACAAGATTCTAATCATCAGAACGCAACAAAATACTTAATGCAGCAAGTCTTCACAGAGACAGCCAGCCAGCACTATTACTAGAAAGGCCCAGAGTAGATAAAACATGAAATCCAGGCAGAAACAAAAGAGAAGAGAAAAGAGAAAGAGTGATATTCCGCCGTGGGTAACCACGACTCAAGCTATAAACATACCCCTTGGCTACAGAGTCCCCTCCTCTCCTTGACCCCATTATCCTTTTTTATTAAACAACCTATAACGCTTAATCTTTATTTCTGGAATATGTTTTCTCAGAAGCAGCTGAGCAAAGGTACATGTCCAAATTCAAGTTACCTTCTTTTAAAGTCCACTTGATGGAGCCTGTCCTCTTGCTCACTGCGTGCAAACTGCCATCCAGAGTGGACACGAACAACAAGGTTTCTGGAAGCGTCACGGTGCTGGGACTTGCAAAAGCCTGCAATGAGATGCGGAAGGACCGTCACGGCCAGCAGCGGCTAACCCCGTGGGCATTCACAATCACAGACTCCTCCACCTCCTAGGGGAGAAGCTGAGGCTGGGGGGACCAACTGTCCCCCACGCACATGTCTGCACCCACACTGAGTGAGGGCCAGAACCAGGCTGTGTCCCCTGGCTCCGCAGCCCTGCCTCCTGCAGTCAAAAAGGGTTCCAACCCAAAGAACAGGACCGGGGCAGGGGTTCTGAGATAAAGGAGGAAGTGCACCCAACTTCTAAATGACTTCCTTCTGGCCACACTTTACTTTTTGAGAACCAGGACTCCCTGATTAAAAAAAAAAAAAAAAAAAAAAAAGGCCAGCACACCCCATGTGCACATCTGACATTTTTAAAAATAAAAGAGTCAGGTGAGAAATCATAAAGCAAAATAAGAAAAAGCAGTTCTCATTCAGTAAAAGAGTTTATAGAATACCAAGGTTTCAATAGATTCGCATTATAATTAAAATGCATTTTAATTAAAGGTGTAACTTTCTTGGTCACAGAATTTTTTAAATGTAAAGGAAATAGGCAAAGGCATGAAATCCATAGTCTCACCCATCACTGATGGCAATGAAAACTGTTAGGTTAATGAAGTTAGGTTAATCTTCCTGGATGGCATTTTAAAATGCTCCTATTTTTTATCTTATAATTCCACTTTTGTAAGCCCAAAGAATTTCCACATATGGAAAAAATTCTGTGTGCGATACCATTCATGATATCCTATTTATAAACACAAAAATAATATCTACGTGGCTATGATAAATCAGGACCCGATCAATGGAATATTACGTAATCATTAAAAGAGCATTTTGGAAAATCCTGTATATGGTACAGGAAAAGGCTTACACAGGTTACCGGGGGAAAAATACAGGATCCTCAACTTAACGTGCACTGCGGTGACAGTCACGCTGCATGGATGTTTTGGGCCGCCCTCCCTATGGCTTGCCAGGGCCGCTCAGCTGCACGGTTTCCATGGGAACAGCGCACACGCATGCAGAGTACAGACAAGTACAAGTGATAAAGGCTGAGGTTTCCCAGGACAACACTCCTCTGAGCTATGCCACCTTGTGATAAGGTTTTTCTCTCCCTTTGTAACGCTGATGTCCTGCCAGGAAGCTGATTCCTGTGGGCGTCGAATGGGAAACGCCACTTGCTTACCCTGTGACAGCTTGAACCTTGGAGAAGACACTGTTTCAAAAATACAGAAATAGGTCCGACTTCTGGCACCAACTGTAAAAAGACTGGGGGTTGCTACTTATCTGTGGGAGCCTGACCCTAAAATACCTGGCCATTCTCGGGGCGAGCTGGATGATGCCTAATGAGCCCCTGAAAAGGGAGGCCGCAGGGTGCACTCCACGGTACCTGACACTCCAGCCCCTGCGTTCCTTTTCCACAGTGTGGACCCCCTGGCAGAAGGGCCAGGCAGCGGCCAGACCTGGCTTGCCTCATGTCTTGCCTGCGTCTGGCTTGGGCTGAGCCCTTTCCTGTGCCAGAGCCTGGGCCTGCCCTCCTGGGATGGGGAGACAATGGAGAGCTTGGCTGTGGCCAGCATTGTCTTTCCTCTGTGCTAAAACCTTCGGTTTGCAGAGAGTCAGCCTTTAATCCTCTTCGAAGCTAGGAAATCAGGCTGAGCTCGGCCAGGTAAGGAAAACAAGGCTCAAGGGTGGGGCCTGCCCAACCAGGGATCCAAAGGTCACTAGGCCGACTATTTGATGGATAGTTACAGCGCCTTCAGCCACGGGTGCAGGTGGTGCCTGGCCTCCCTGGGCCCTCTCACACCTGCGCCCCAGAGGTGTAGGCATCGCCCAGGTGACCAGTGGCCCTGACAAGACCACGGAGGCCTGCAGCTAAATGACACTTGGGGCTGTCTCCATTGCAAAGTGGGGATGGGTTTGCAACTGGAAGTGGGGAGGCTGGATTATGTCAGGTGGAGGCAGTGTGCACACTGGATAAATGAAAAGGTAAGACACAGGGGTAGGAATCCCCAGCAAGGCCCCCAAATAGTCACACCAGGAGCAAGCATTCTATGTGGCAGGTGTTGGGATCATCCAAGAATTGGACTGGACTCTGTGAGTGACTGAAGTGGGGGGTCTCTATGAGTATGTTTCCAAGTGGGAAAACACTGAAGGCAAGAGAGAAAGGCAAAGACAGACGGAAAGGCAGCCTGAGCAGAAACATGGCGGAGAGACCAGAGCGCGCCCGTGGGCAGTCCTCAGCCTGGCCACATTCCTTTCCTGGGCTCTGGCTGCACACACATAAGGCACCTCTCTGCTTAAACTCATCGGGACCACATTTCTGTCATGAACAACCAAAACAGCTCCCCTCCCCCTCACCCAACATAGTTATGAAAGAAGACAGACAGAAAGAAATACTGAAAATCACATTAGGAGTAATTTCTCCCTGTGTTCTAAATGTTCTATACCGTGACCACATAATCTGCATTGAACTTTTTAAAAATATTTATTTATGCACACAACAGCTGGGGTTCAGGCCAGTGGTATGGAGAGTGAGAGAATTCACCAGAGACAGAGTGGAAAGCAGAACAGGCAGAATGACTGAAATGCACTGCTGAGGGGAATAGTGGCAAGGCAGGAGAGGCCTGCTGGGCCCTGTGGGTCGCCTCCCTGGCTGAGGACTGAACTCAAGCTGCAGCGGTTGCAGGTCACCTCACAGTGCTTTAACCCGTTCTGCCACCAGGAAGGACTCAACATTGAACTTTTAATAGAAAGGAGATGGGGGCCCTCCCTGGTGGCTCAAAGGGGGAGGGCGCAGCACTGCAAGCTCATCACAGCCACTTCAGTGCAAGCTTGATCCCCAGTCCTGGAGCTGACCCACATGGTGCAGCAGACCCCTCCTGACCTGCCCACTGCTGCCCTCAGCAGTGTACTTTGTCAGTCAGCCTGTTCTGCTCCCCGCTCTGCCTCTGGTGAATCCTCTCACCCCCTGTACCCCTGTACACTGTACCCTGTACAGTGCTTTAACCTGTTCTGCCACCAGAATGGTGGCAGAATGCATAACTAAATAAATCCTTAAAAAAAAAAAAAGAAAGAAAGGAGATGGACACTGAAGCAGGTGGGAGCAGCGCTGACCTTTAAAGTTCTGGTCTTGGGATACTGGCGACTCAACCACATGTTACCCCCATTCTCTACCCAAGAGGGGCAGTTCAGCAGCCTCATAGCCTCCCGGTAAGACAGCAGCACGCGAGCATCCTGTGGTGTTGTTAAAGCCTCTGGCGCACTTCTGATAACCTGAACGCCCCTGGAGACATCTCACCCGGCAGCGACATAAAGAGACCCGTGTTCCCTGCAGCCACACGTGCCACTCGCTGCTCGTGTGCAAATGCACACCACCTGTTTGAGCATCTTGGCAACCACAGGAAGCGCAATTGTCTCTGGGTGCTGATGAGTGAAAATACAACACTAATCACATAACTAACCGAGCCAGCCAATGATCTCAAAAATGCTGGCTTTGCCTAGAAGCTGGATGTTTAGCAGCTGAGTGTGCTGACAGACTGTCCACAGTGACTGCGTGAGTCTGTCACAAGTCACAGGTTGTGCTGCTCTTTGACGCTCCCAAATCAGGGTGCCTGGGAAGCCGCTGAGAACAGTGTTACTTCCCTGTTATTATCAAGTTTCTGGCTCCCCACCCAATTTTTTTTTTTTTTTTTTTTTTTTTTTTTGCATAGAAGAACTGGGGAACAGGCCAGAGGTGTGGGAGGGGGTGGTGAGAAGATTCACCAGAAACAGGCAGATCTACTGAAACACACTGCTGAGGGGAGCAGTAGGGAAACAGGAGAGGTCTGCTGTGCCCTGTGGGTCAGCTCCATTGCCGGGGATCGAACTCAGTGATAGCACTGAGAATTAACCCCTTCGCCACCAGGGAGACTACCCCCACCCCCAGTGTTTTTCTAAATCGTGAAAATGTCTGCCTTCTAATACAGCTGCTACATAAATGAAATAAGTTTCTAGACACCTCTTGTGACACTGGGCACAGCAGAGACCAGCATGGACCATCGCCACCCCCTTCACTCCCCCCACGCCCCTGGTTTTCACAGCGCTTTTCTCCAGGGTGGATGACAGGCAGCAGGCCCTGAAGTTACTCACACACTCCGGTTTCCAGAGAGTCTGCGAGAGGAAAGAAAGTGCTGGTTCTGGGGATCTGCTTCAAGTGGACACCTGCAACCTGACTCGGTTTTCAAACTAGTGGGGTAGATGCTCCCACCTTCCACAGTGACTTCTAGGAAGTGACCACAGGGACACGGCCCAGGGAGGGCGAGAGTGGCCATGGCAGGTCATCTGGTCTAGCCTGAAACCAGACATCCGTTAGCTGACGGGTCCACCACACTCACACTCCTACACGAGGTGACCCCAAGATGTCTATCAGGGGGAAAACCCAGTTGAGGATTGTGAGGGCTGGAGCTTCCGGGCAGATGACACCAGAGAAATGGTTGGTAAAATCAGCAAATTTCAGTGGGTTGGTTCAGGCTAAAACAGCCCTGCTCGGCCACAGCTCTACCTGCATTTTCCGTGAAAACTAATACAATCCCGGGGATGGAGCTTCTGTCCCATGTTTTGGTTATAAAGCAAGGTCTTGTAAAATGTAATGCTCACTTTGCATTTCCTACAAAAATGCAACAGTAATGACTTTCCTGTTTATAGAGAGAATTAAAAGGTCAGCCGCTGACAGTGCAGATTTGCTCCAATAACCCTAAACACAGCTGACCGTTACTTGCGTGTTGATTCACTCAGCTCCTTATAGCTCAGGTCAGAAAAATCTTTTCTTTTCTTTCTTTTTAAAGATTTATTTATTTATGCTTACAGAGCTGGAGTACAGAACAGAGGTGCAGGGGCAGTGAAAGGATTCACCAGAGACAGAGTGGGGAGCAGGACAGGCCGACTGATGAAGTACACTTCTGAGGGGATCAGTGGGCGGGGTCAGGAGAGGTCTGCTGCGCTAGAGAAATCTATTCTATAATGGTTTCTGCAATAACGTCGCTTAGAAAGTCTTCAGGGAGGAGTTTAGCAGCACAAAAACAAAGGAAACCACCTCTCACCAAAAACCATCAACTTCAACCTCCGAACTAGGACCTGGGACGCAGCTATTGTCCCCGGGGGCTTAAGGGTCCGGTGGGCAAGGTTCTTCTACCACCACTCACCTCTGCCCCTTGAGGAAGAGCAGCAGCGAAGCCCACTGCCAGCCTGTCAGAGATTTAGAAGCGGAAGGAAAGCCCAGTGCTGGGCATCAGGGTTTGCAGAAATAAAGCAGAAATCTTTTCTAGGTATCTTCTCCCCTGCCACCTTCCAACCCAGCAGATCACAGTATATTTAATATCAGCCTCTGAGAATCTAGCCAGTAACTGAATGATGTATCTGCTTTTCCTTTTAAGAGTACCACACCCAGGTTTAGGATTTCTTCAGAGGCCGCTGTGTTTTTTAGTAGATTTTCTACTGTGTTCAATGGATTACTGTTCTACTGCATAATCCTAACTTTAGTTTTATTTATTTAAGGTTAAGAAAACTATTCCTTCACAATGAAAATACAGTACTGATGTAACTCTAGCAAGGATACTGGGAGGTTTCCAAAAGAGGATTATTACACAGGGGAGGGTGTACCTAAATTCCTGGAATCTACAACCTGCCGTCAGCAACCAGGGGATCGCTGCCCTGGCTCATATCCACTGGGAAGACCTGGCCATTGAGGGTAAGCAAAGAAAGAAGTGACTAAAGAGGTCATTTGGTGGGTGAATGAGTACACCTTACAGAATCACCAGCAGGTACGCAAGCAAGGGAAGGATCCATAGGGAAAATTTCCAAAGCATTTTGCTTTACTGCCTATCCTTAGGACATGTGGAATCTGAGATAACCTGCCACACGTCCCCAAAGGTACACTATAGGTGGATTCAAATCAGATAAGGAGTCAGTGTTTATAACCACTAACCTTAGCAAAAAGGCACAGCCGCAAGAAGGGCATTTTCTGTGTGGGCGATATATACCAGGTCCAGGGGGCCTAAGAGGGCTGTGTGCACCGGTGGAGGTGATCGGATGGAGAAGAATGGAGAGAGGAGTAAAGGCAAATTGACTGGACTATCCTGCTGGCTATAATTAGCTGAGAGCCACAGGGTGGATGAGCTTTTAAGAGATACTGATAAGACCCTTCCTGGCCTGTCATGATGGGGTGCCTGTCCTTGAAGGGCATCTCTCTCACACACACACACTCAAGTCAACCTGTGTAGTCATGCCAATTTGTTAGAAACTCCTCAAAATAGCATCTGTAGCAGAGTCCCCTGGCAGGCACTAAACGAGATTCAGAAAAGGCCATGTGTGCCTACAATTCTATTTGCAGCAATAGTATGCACTTTAGACTATAAACTCAAACAAAGCCTGGCTCTTTGAAATTCCGGCGGCTTTACCCAAGCACCCAGTCGAGTCCTGTCATCCCGATGCCATGTG